CACAGGATTTTTTTCTGCAAAGCTGAGGAGGAGCCTCTGACCTCCTCCTAAGTTGCTGATGAAAGTGTTTGTGATTTGGGGCAGAGGCTAGTGTCTGGGGGCTATGCTGGAGTGCAGATGTTGGGGTGATGGGCCTGAGGGGGGAGCAAGGGGTGCTGACGGGAAGAGGAAGAGGAGAGGGCCTGGGCAGGCCGGCGCCTGGGTGCCTGGGGCGTTTCTGCACAGTCAGCTGGCTGGGGAGGCAGAGCTTAAGTGTGGTCAGGGCCTACTCAGGAGCATAAAAGCCCAGGGTGTCTCAGCCTCCCTCCCACCACCACTGGCCCACAGCACAACCCTTCAGGGGCTAAGGCGTGGAGCAGCACTGGCGGATGCAGGAGGCAGAGATGAACCGTGAAATGGTCTACTTCTTCACAGATAACCAGGCTGTCGCCCTGCACCCCCAAGGTGAGGAAACTGGGGCCTGAGCCCATCCTCAGTCAGGGACTGGCCTGCTTGTCCCCCAGCCCTCAGCCATGTTTCTTAGCACCCCCTGGGCAGGCCAGAGCTCCCTCGGCTCATTGCTGTCTCAGCCTCCAGAACAAATAGGTGAGGGCAGAAGGTGGGTCCGGCTAGGACAGAGAGCCTGGGGCACACCTCCAGTCTCGGCATGAAATCTCCCCAGACCGTTTTCTTGAGAACGGCAACCTGGCAAGAAAAAGGGTGACCTTTGAATTCAGAGGGACCTGGTTTTGAATCTTGTCTCCGTGAACTGGGATGACCCCATGAGGTCTCAGGGGCTCAGCCCCCAGACTCCCAGGCACAGCCCTTCTTAGGACACTGACAGGGGACCTTCTGACCCAGGCAGGGAGTCTCCAGGACTGATCCGCGTCAGTTTGTGGAGGAAGCAGCAGCCCCAAAGGCCTGCTAGTCTTGCTCTGTTCAGGGTTCATGAGCAAGACTGGCCCTGGGACTCCATGGTCAGGGTTCCTGCTCTGTCCCTCTCCTCGCCCCTTCTCTCTTCTTTCATTCAAACCACACTTCTGCTCTCCTTGTCGGGGCCACATTCTGTGTTCTGTGCATCCTCTCCAGCCTTTGCGTTGCCACCACGGCCCCCAGTGCGCTCTGGTGAACTATTCAAAGGGCTTCGTTTCCTTTCTCTGTGGTAAGCGTGGCAGGTGTTCTCACCCTGGTCAGACAGGCCAGGAGACTGAGCCTAAGCAGCTGACTCTGCCCAGCCCCCACTCTCCTCCTGGACATTGGTATCTCCCCTGCAGGCCTGGACTCCTCGGCCCTGGCTCCAGCAGCCCCGAAGACGTCAAAGCTTGTTCGGGTCACCCTGGCACTTATGGTCATCACCATTGTCACCTCTCTCATAGCTCTCTTTTTTGTGGGTAAGCTCCTGGGTAATCTGAATCCCACTGGCTCTCTTTCCTGCATAGAGGTCACTGACCAAGGGGAGCCTCCAAAAGCAGAGGCTCATGAGGGAGAAGCAGAGGGGTACTTGGTGCCACCTCCCTCCTTCTGGAACCCTGACTCGGGGGTGAGGCAGCCTGTTCCCCAGGTTCAATGCTGAGGGATTGTGCTGACCCAGGAATGGGGTGTCTCAGTTCTACAGAAACCAAGACCTGAACCGGAGGCCTATGCCTACTCCCAGAAGTTTCTGGGAGACAACGCTACTGGGCAGTTACCTGTGGAAACCGACAGTGAGTAACCATAGTGGGGCCGATGGGTGGGAGGGAGCTGGGGCATTTGGGTGCCCAGACCCTAGGGTGAGCTTCTCCCTTAACACTTCCATGCTCTTGAATGAGCGTCACTATCTTCACAGAAAAGCATGATTTTTGTTTTAGAAAACAGCTTTATTGAAGTATAATTGACACATAATAAAGTACACATATTTAAAGCATACGATCTAAGAACTTTTGATATATGTGAAACCATCACCACAATCAAGATAATGAACGTATTCATCCTCCTCCCCATAAGTTTACTTGTGGCCTTTGTCACCCTCCCTCTCCTCACCCTTCATCCCCAGGTGACCACTGATCTACTTGCTGTAATATACAGCGCTTGGCTTTTTCTAGAGTTTCATATAAAAGGGATCATATAGTGTGTACTCTCTTTTTTGTCTTTTATTAGTCATATGATTTGCAAATATTTTCTCCCAGTCCATGGCTTCATTCTCCTAACAAGATTTGAATTTTGATAAAGTCTAATTTATCAATTTTTTCTTTTACTGGTCATGCTTTTGGTCTCATATCTGAGAAATCTTTGCCTATCCAAGTCACAAAGATACTCTCCTATGTTTCCTTCTGGAAATGTGATAGTTTTGGGTTTTACATTTAGGTCTATAATTAAAAAAAAAAAAATCTTTATTGATTTCAGAGAGAGGAAAGGAGAGGGAGAGAAAGAGAAACATCAATGATGAGAGAGTCATTGATCGGCTGCCTCCTGCACGCCCCCAACTGGGGATGAAGCCCAAGCCCACAACCTGGGCATGTGCCCTGACCAGGAATCGAATCCTGATCGCCTGCATCCTAGGTCAACGGTCAGCCACTGAGCCACGCCTGGGGCTCTATGATTAATTTTGAGTTAAATTTTGTTTTGGCATATGGACATACCATTGTTTCAGCACCATTTGTTGAAAATATTGTCCTTTCTCCATGAATTACTTTGTATCTTCATTGAAATCAATTGTTCATATATGTGTGGGTCTATTTCTAGATTCTCTATTCTATTCCATTGATCTATTTGTCTATCAGCATGACTCTGGATGGTAGCTAGTTTACAGTAGGCAAGTATTTCACTCTTTCTGCCCCTCAGTTCATGTGGGATATTTATTTCATTTTTTGGCCCACATTCTCAGGTGGCCCATCCTCAGGGTCTCGGTGGCTGCAGTGAGCAGCAGGTCGCTTGAGGAGTACTCAGGGCTGTGTCGTAGTCATTCCCCTTGGAAATTTTAAGAACACTCTGGTTGGCTCATATAATTAACGTTTACCTATGCAACAGGCCTCTTTGGCTGCCTTCTCCAACTCCTCCCTCCAGATTCCTGCCACTTTGAAAGGGTGGCAGAGTTACAAGAGACCCTCCAGATGTTTAAAGACCATGTGGAGAACTCCAGCACCTGGACCATGGAGATCCAGATGTTGATGTGCAGAGTGGACAATGTCAGTTCTCAGATCCAGACGCTCGGCAGTGATCTGCAAAATACCAGTGCTGACATCCAAATGGTAAAAGGAGTTCTAAAGGATGCAAATACCTTGAGTTTCCAGACCCAGATGTTAAAAAGTTCCTTGGAGAGGGCCAGTGCTGAGATCCAGAGACAAAAGGGAGATCTGGAAAAGGCAAATGCTTTAAATTCCCAGGCCCAGAGTTTCTTAAAAACCAGTTTAGAAAACACCAGCTTTGAACTCAATATGTTGAGCAGAAGCTTAGAAAATACCAACACTGAAATTCAGGTGTTGAAGGCAGGGTTGGAAATGGCAAATACCAAGGCCCAGCTGGCAAACAATAGTTTAAAGAATGTTAATGCTCAGATCCTTGTTTTAAGAGGCAATCTGGAGAGTATCAATGATTTAAGGGCCCAGAATCAGGTTTTAAGTAATAGCTTGAAAGGAACCAATGCTGAGATTCAGAAGCTAAAAGGAAGCCTGCAAAATGCAAATGATTTAAACTCCCAAACTCAGACCCTTATAAGAGGCAGTTTAGACAACACTAGTGCTGAGATCCAGTTATTAAGAGGTCATTTGGAAAAGGCTGGTGATGAGATTCACTTGTTAAAAAGAGATTTGGAAATGGCTACTGCCCAGACCCAAAGAGCTAACAGTCGCCTGGAACAAACAAATGCTAAGATCCAAGGGTTAAAAACAGAGCTGGGAAACACCAATGCCTTAAATTCTGATATTCAGGTGTTAAACGATCAGTTGAAAAATGCCAGCAGAGAGATACAGACCCTAAAACAAGAAATGAAGGATACTGCAGCCTTAAAATCCAAGACCCAGATGCTAGAGAGCAGTCTGCAGAAGGCCAGTGCTGAGGTTCAGAGGTTAAAAGGGGATTTAGAGAACACGAAAACACTAACTGCGAAAGTCCAGGAGCAGCAGAGCAGCCTGGAGACCCTCCGTGCAGACTTTGACACGCAGAAGCAGCTACAGAAGTCCCAAAGTAAGTGGGAGGGAGGGGTTGGCCTGGGGAAGCTACGGTCTCTTGGGAGGGTGGAGTCTCCTGTCCCTTTGGCCTTTTGCCTACTTCACCAGGCATCGCTCTGGGAAAGAGTGGAGGTGCTGGAAAGGGCCAAATCCATCCAGATAGGCTCGATGTGCTCAGACAGTGGTGGACGTGGCACAGGGAGCAGAGATCTTGCTCTCAAGTTGCTATCACCTGGCCAGGCTGACACTTGGGAAACAAGCCATGTCTGTATGGTGAGGTCGTATGTAAGGACAGTGGGTGCTAGTGAGGCCAGACATTCTTATTCCTGACTTCCTGCTGTCACAACTGGTGTGACTTTGACCCAATTGCTTACTGTCACTTTTCTCATCTGCAAAGTGGGGACAGTAATATTTGCTTCACAGTGAGAATCAAGTGAGTTCACACATATACTGCATTTAACACAGTATCCAGCATTCGTGCGCTCATCTGACAAAAACTTCTGAGGCCCTACTATGTGTCAGAGAAGGAAAGACGAGTAAGGTGCGCTGCCCACCCTGGAAGCTCACAGGCTGGCAGAGCAGCCTTGCACAAAAGGCACGTGGAGAGGCGGAGGGGAGAGGAGTTAAGAGGTGTTATGTTAGAAGCAGGTCTAGGAACTGGGGGCGGGAGGGAGGAAAAGGGAAAGAAGAAATCTGCTGGTCCATGTCCTCTGGTGTAGAGAAGGGGTCTTCCAAGGAGGGGATGGGGGAGAAAAAATCAAAAGATGCTTCACTGAGAAGATGGCCCTTGCACTGAGTCCTGGAAAACAAGTAGGTATTTGCCAAGAAAATAGGGTGAGAGAGCAGCAGGTTCTCAGGAATGGAGATGTGAAACCATGAGGTTCAGGAGATGTTAAGCAGCTTGTCTGACTGGACTGGGGCCAAAAGGGCAGTTGATGAGGCACAGGCTGAAAGGACAGAAGGCAGTGGCCAGAATGGTGGCTTTCAAATTGTTTTAAACGCAACCACAGCATGAAATTCATTTTACATTGTGACCCAGTATAATTATGTGTGTCATACACACACACACACATTTCAAAAAACAAAACTTTTACTGCATGAATGCACTTTGATATTTCATAATTTATTCTTAAAAACAAAAACCACTTTGACATAATCTATTAACGTTTGATAATTGTAGTTTAAAAAGCACTGTGCTGGAGAGGTAGGCATACCTAAGAGACACCAGCTAGATGGGGAAGGCCTCTGCGCTTAGCTTTCATCCTCTGGGAATTCAGTGTCTGTTGAGGGCAGCAGGAGACTAGATGGGTCTCCTGCTGAGATGGGATAAAGCAGGCAGAAGAGCAGTGAGATGTGGACATGCTGAGTCAGAGATGCTGCAGGGATATTCACAATGTCACCTGCAGGCTATCTGGAGAGCAGGAGAAAGGTCCTGACTGCAGACATAGATGTGAGAGCCTGGGGTATCTTGGTTCTGGTTGTGGCAATGGGAGTGAGGGCTGGGGGGAGGGGGGTGCATGAGATAAAATGCTTCCTGAGAGGAGGCTGAGGGTGGGACCGGGAAGTCAAACTTCAGGTGGCCAGGAGGGAGAGAGGTGTTTTTGAAGGAGACTGGAGCAGGCAATCTTAGAGGCAGGAGGAGAACCAGGAGCGCTTTAGTTGGGGAAGCCAAGGAGGGACAAAATTTCAAGAAGAGAGTGGTTAGTCCTGGCAAATGCCTTAGAGAGGCCAGTAAACATCCAGTAAAATAACCAGTAAACATCCACCAACTCTGGCCGGTTAGTAAGTCAATGGGATGAAGTTTTAGTGGAGAGTTGTGTGTGGCCCGGAGGCCAGACCATGGGCAGTGGGGTGTGAATAAAAGGTAGGGTGCACAAGTCATTCCAGGAGCTTAGCTGAGGAGGAGGGAGATGGGACTAAGGCGAAGGGGATAGCAGGGTAGAGGGAGGGATTAAAAAAACATGTATCATCAATATTTACATATTAATTTCATATTATAGCTTACATATTAATAAAACTTACATATTAATGACAGACAATGTGGCAAATGTTGAAAAAGAGAAAGATGAGAAGGTAACCACTTGCATTTCTGTGAAAATGTTTTTATTTTCTATATGAACCCACTGCTAACATTTTGGTGAACTTCCTTGAGAGGGTTTTTCTAGATTAGAATAGGCTTGATCTGACTTGAGAGAAATAAACCAGTGGTCTTCCGGGCTTCCCATTGCTCACAGGGGAAAAATCCCAAACTCCTTCACAAAGGATGTGTGATTTAGTGCTGGTGAACCTGTCCAGATCTGTCTCCTATCCCTTAGGTACTGCCCACACCAAATGCTTGAGCAGATCAATGCACACCTTCGTGTTTTTGCGTCTGCTCTTGCCCCCGACCACCTGGCAAACTGTGCCTCAGTCTTTTAAGATGCAGCTCAAGTGAGCTCTTACCTAGGGTGTCCTCCCGAGCCCCACATCCAGCCCAGGTGGAACAGGCCATACCTTCTTTCCTGCCTCTGATGTAACATGCACATGGTTTTCGATCAGTGCATCTCCGCACCTGTCTCACTTACCAGACCGCACCTTCCTTGAGAGCACGAATCATGTCTCACTGATCTTTGTATAACAGTGCCTAGTTCAGTGTTGAATGATGAATGTTGAACAGAAGAATAAATGGATGAATAAGGGAGTCTGTGTGGTACCATTTCAAACAGCTGTGGTGCAGATGATGTTAAAGAGCACAGTGTCATGGCAGGGAGGGACAAAAGAGCTGAGAGAATCGGGGTTTGTGCTCAGGGAGGAGCTAGCTGAAATTATGAGGCCAGGCGGACCAGGTGGTGACAAGGTCCCAGGTATGGTCATGGGTGTGGGCAGCTGAAGTGGGCAGAGATGAAGTCAAGGAACTGAGTGACGCCATAGGGTGGTTGTGAAGTCTCCCTGCAGGGAAATGGCAGGAATTGAGGTGCAGAGGACTGTTAGGTGATAGCAGCCAGTTGGGAAGTAGGGTAGTAGAGCCAGAAAGCAAGAGTCTGAAGACCTGCCTGAGGATCCCTGGAGTGATGGAGCCAGGTGTTCCAGGATACAGCTTCCTGGCATATTGGGTAGTAGGCTTGGGGGTACGGGGTGCAGCCTCCCAGGCCTTGCTCCTGAGGCACTGGGCAAAAAGTATTGCATGGGCTTGTGACTCTCAGTGGTCAGTCCCTGGAGAGGTCAGGAAGGCCTGCTCTCAGACATCCACAGCCAGCCCCTGCTTCTCTCTCTTCCCCAACCTTTGCTCCAGATGAACTTCTCCAACTGATCCTGGAAGGCTGGCAGGTCTATAACAGGAACTTGTATTACTTTTCTCATGTGAAGAAGTCTTGGCATGAGGCTGAGCAGTCCTGTATGTCCCAAGGAGCCCATCTGGCCTCGGTGACCTCTGCAGAGGAGCAGGTTAGAGCTTTGGGCTTAGGGTGGTGCTGATGGGGTAGATGTGGGATAAGGGACTTTGATGCTTTGGCTTTGCCCCTCTTAGAGCAGGTGTGGCAGAAACTTCCATGTCATCTCATCAGTCAGGGAGCAAATATTTATTGAGTTCCAATGAGCATCTTGTACTGGAGATAAAAGCACTGAGAGCAAACCCCAATGTCCTCAGTGAATGAGGGCAACACCCAGAGGCCCACAGATGTTAGCAGTGAGGAAAGGCAAAGGGAAGTGGCACCAGTTATTTAAGCAGTTATTTAAGATGACTGCCCTTAAAGTGTTGGAAACACACTTCCCTCCCCTTGTTTAGCCCCTCAGCCTCCTCTCTGGTTGTCAATCTTGATTTTAACATCAGTCAATCCAATGGCTATGGAGGGCCCACAAGATTCTTGGCAAGGTCAGATACACACACAGGAGTTTGAGGACCACCAAAGGCATTATAGTCTCTGAGTGGCCCATCTGCCAAAGGTACTTATCAGAATTTACTAGAGTTATTGATAAAGGACCACAGTAGGTTTGGACCAATTCAATTTATAGAATTGGGCCAAATCCCTGTGGTTCTCCTGAGACTGTTCTTGTATGACTGTCAAAGGACATGCTATGTTGTAAAACAAAACTTTTTAATAAACTGTGGCCAGGTCTCTTTGTCTCAGTAAAGCCACACTCCTCGTCAAGTCAACATGGGAGAAGCTGAACTTCCCTTGAGGGGACCTGGCTGCTGCCCTAGATCCTGGACAAACCATGGGAAGTAGAGGGAGGGACTCAGTTCCTTCAGAGAAGTGGGCTGCATGCCCCGGGACCAGGAGGGGATGACTTGGACTCCTCTTCTACATGGCTGGGGGAACCAGCTCCTCACTCAGGGTCAAACAGCACTGCCTTTTCTTTACAGGAATATCTGACAAAGTTCACAGGTACCTTATATCATTGGATTGGCCTCACTGACAGCGGCAATGAGGGCTCTTGGAGCTGGACTGATGGGACACCATTCAATTTTGCTCACAGCAGAGCGTGAGTCCAGCCACTGTCTGGTATCGTCCCAGGCACTGTCTTGGGCAGGCCTGGTTAGAGACTCCCTGTCCTGTGTGCGTATACCTGCCCAGGGAGTGTTAGTGTTGTGTGTGTGATATGTGTGTGATACATGTGTGATGTGGGTATGGTGTACATGATGTGTATGCATAGTGTGTGTATGATTGTTTATGATGAGTGTGTACATTGTGTGTGTATGATTGTGTGTGAGGTGTTTGTGCATATGTGATGTGTATGGTGTGTTTGTACACATGGGCATATTTGTAATCTTTGCCTGGACTCCTCCGCATGACAGGTCCTGTGGTTGGCAGGCAGCCCATGAGAGGACCTTCCTGTATTTTGTTGTTTTTTGCCTGTCGAAACTCCATATAGGCCTGGTCCCAAGAGCTCCTGCCCCCATCACAAGGAATCTGAATGTGAATTCTGGGGTGGGGGCCTACAGCTTCAGACATCCTTTCTCTCCCTTGATCTTTAATAACTAAGGACAACCTAAGCAGAGCCACTCTCATGGCGACTCTGATCCCAGCTTTGTTTCCATCCTGGGGCCACCAGGGAATTAGGGACCCATGTCACTTCAGCTCCTTATGCCACAGTGGGGGGAAAAGGACCCTTCTTTCATCTAGCAGAATAAAGCCTTCTTCTTTCCAGGTTTTGGTATGATAATCAGCCAGACAATTGGCAGCACAGTGATGGGCAGGACGAAGACTGTGTTCACATGCAGAAGAAGTGGAACGACAACAGCTGTAAGGCCCTCTTTCACTGGGTCTGCAAGAAGCCCATCAGTCAGGCTGTGGCCTGAAGTAGGCCAGAGCTCAGGGGTCACTGCCACTGCTAGCTCTGGACCCTTTCCACCATGACATTTTGTGAGCCTCTGAACCCAGTTTGTTCTCTGGGACCTTCCATTTGGCCTTTTGTGTTTCCTGCCCTGTCTTTTTATTTAACCCTTCAAACATGCTTACCTTGTATGACCCTATGGGATCAACAGTTTCTCAAGGCAAGAGCCTTGCTGTGCTTCTGTATCCCCCTCAGCAACCAGCACAGGCCTGTCAGACAGTGGGTCTTCAATAAACAATTGCTGGATGAACAAAATTTTTGTACTTATCTCTGGGACAGCTGCCATGCTCTCTTCTCCCTGGATTGGTTCTCCTTCCTCAGTGTCCCTTCTGTCCGGAAACAAGTGTATTCTTGTTTCAGGGCTTTAGAGCTAGGAATGTTTCGTTAGCTTGCTGAAAAACAGCAGAAGTTTAACATAAACGACAGTGACACTGTAGAGGGTCCATGTTACCAGGAAGTCATAGATATCCCAGAGGTTCCCTGCATTTCCTTTGTTGCAGATGGGGCTGGAGCTGGATTTTTCCAGGCCTTTAAACCACTCCAAAACCTTATTTCTCTCCTGTGGCTGGCCTCATCTTGTATTCAGATTGCTAATTCTCAGAACCATATCTCTGGCTTTGGCCTCATCTTGTGACCCCATGCACCCTCCCAGGGACCCAGCTTTCTGCTGGCTCAGTTTAGAATAAGAATTTCTGGAGCAGTTATTTGCCCTGCCTTGTGGCTTCCCCTCCTATGCACTCACAGGGAACCTTAAGATTGCTGGAGCTCTTTCACTGCATAGCTCCCTCCCCTTCATACTCCTCCCCAAATTCAAGCACTCTCTGTCTCCCCAAACTCCCATCTTTCTCTCTCCAGCTTAGTGAGACTGTCATGCCCATGTGGGACCCTCTTCCCTGCACTGTGGTCATAAAAGAGCCTGGAGGAAGAAATTCAAGGGGGTCATGTGCTCATCCAACCTGTTCTCCTATCCAGAAACTTGAATCACTCACTGCCCATTATCCAATGTCTGAAAATAATTGTTTCATGTATTTTGTTCAGTTTTCTAGTTGCTTACAGCAAAAGGGCTAGTCAGGTTGCTCCGTTATGATCAGAAATGGAAATCTGTTCTATCTTTTATGGTATCTTTGGTTGAACAAGACTTTAATCTGTGTGTATTCATATTTTCTTTTTGGCTTTTCCTTTGGCCTTTTCTTTCATGGCTTCTTAGCTTTTTATTAATCCTAGAAACTCCTCCTCTATCACAGGATTGAAATAACATATTACTATATTTCTTCTAGTACTTTTATATAGCTTTATTTTTTACATTTACATTATTAAGCCATCTGTAATTTTCTCAAATATCATTAAATCATAACATACTCCTTTTCACTTGAAAACTTTTTCAAATACTAAATTCACAAGTTTTTTTCCTGGACTCTTGATTGTATTCCAATGAGTTCCCTTTTCCTTTACGGGAAACACATTGTTTCAATTATTGTAGTTTTATAATATGTTTGGTTATCCAATAGAGCAAGTTCCCCTTTAACTTTTTCAAAAAATTTTAGATCTTTGTGGGACAAGCTTGATGATTGGTAGGTTCTACTGAAGGTCATGAAGTGGCTAGCTGGATGTTTCATCGGAGCCATCCCTGCATTTCTGATTTCAGTTCCTCCAGTGAGGCAGGATAGTAAGAAGCTAGGGAGGTTCCTTGACAAGTGGAATAGGGGAAACTGAGACAATATAATTAAACAGGGCCAAACAATCTGAGCAATTTACAGCCAGCTAATGAATCACAAAGTTTTATCTTTCCTAACCAAGGACACTAAGGAGCAAATGGCTTACATATTCTAGACCATCCTGGGACAGAACAACCTTGGTCCCGGCCCCTCTTTAGTTATGCTCTTGATGATGTTCTTTAAAAATGAAACTAACCAGAAAATAACCCCTGACCTCTCTATGTGCACATTTTGATGAATCAGCATATTGAAGAACACACCTGAAAAGCGAACGAGTATTCTGTTAAGACCCTCCCCTGAGACCTCCCCTAGGATTCTGGCCAGCCAAAGAAAAATAAGAGGCCTCAAGACAAAGGATCCACACAACACTCTCTCAAGAGTGCTCCCACGCCTTTAATCTCTGCGCTTTTTCTCCTAAACTCTAAGGGACCCCATGAGACTTTCATCTAGGGGAGAAGCAGGCAGCTGCAGCTCATCCTGGGCTATCCCCCTGAACCTGTCTGCAAGGCCCCCTTTTCTCTGACTTTTCCTCTCTTGTTGCTTCTCCTACCTTAAACCCTCCCTTTGTTTCACCGTTCCTGCTTGAATAAACATACTCTCAAAAGCCACCTGGACTCGTGCTGTGAAATCTCTCCTACACGAATCAAGAACCCATACACTACTAGCGGGCCCTAGGCAGGCCCACCCTGGGCCCAGACCCCGTCTGGTAACACCAAGGGCTGTGGAAGCCTCCTCAAAAATAAATTCTTCAATATTTTGCCTGGGAAATAGAAGCTGAGCTGCCAGCAGTCTACAGGCCCCAGAGGAAAAGGGGGGCTGGGCATCCCAGTGTTTCATTTAGAGATGGCCCCTGAACCCCCCTGCTTCAGTCTGGCTGTGCAGACCTCTGGGGATATAAACAGCCCTTCTGCAATGTAGGCAGCTGTGGGGTGCTGCCTGGGTACAGAAGGTGGAGGAGGGGATGAGTAAGCCAGTTCTCCTGTTTTCAGTGTGCCCTGGACCTCTGCCTTTAGAGGTGACAGGTACTCCTGAGTCCTGAGTTTACCCGGTTGTCCTGATTTTTGTTCATTACCCCACCACCGTGGCGGAGTGCCATTCTCTCAGCTCTGCCGAGTCAGCTACCACTCATCCACCCACTGCCAGCTTCCAAATTTTGTTGAAATGCTGATCTGCTATTGATTTTTCTCCCATTCTCTTTGTCATCATGTGTTTTTCTTGTTTTTATTCCTCTACTGTCACTATAGTAGATTTTTTGAGAAAATAGACGTGCATGTGTGCTTTGAATCTACCTCTTTTAAATGAAAACATTATATTCTCTAATAAGATATTATGACATTAAGGATATCATATTTATTGTGTACTAACTACCTTGTTGAATACATACATAAGGGCTCTGATTAGTTCTTACATTTTTTTTCCTGATGAATTGCATGGGGTTTTCTGGATAAAATTATTTGCAAATAATGATAACTGGAATTTCTACCTATTTCTCTTTCTTTTGCTATGGGATTGGTAAAACCTCTAGAACAATGTTGACTAGTACCAGTGATAGCCGGCATGCTTGTCTTGTTCCTGACATTAACATGACTCTTTCCAGTTTTGTACTGTCACTTGTTGTTTTCTGATAATTACCTTTCATAAAGTGAAGGAAATTTCCTTCAATTCCAAATCTCCAGAGGTTACTTTCTAAATAGAAATGGGTCCTAATTTGTCAAGCAGGTTTTCAGCATCTATCAAAATATTAATAAAAATGTTTATCTTTTTTTCTGTTAGTATAATAGATTACATTAATAATTTCCTAATGATCAATTATCTTTGCATTTCTTGAATAGAAACCTATTTGGTCATGGTCGTCTTTCAATATATTGCTGGATTTAATTTTCTGATAGTTTATTCCATGACATTTTACATCTATAGCAATAAAGATATATAGAAATGGGCTTATTGTTTTCTTTGTATGTACTTCTATTTTTTTTTTTTTAAAGATTTTCCTGTCTTATACAAAAAAAGTAGGAGCCAGTATTAAATCATATGTCCTACTTTCTTGGAATTTACTGTGATTTTCTTTGTGGTCTGGTGTATGCTCATTTTTTATAAGTGTTCCATAGGCATATTTATTAGATTAGGCTTGTAATTTTTATTAATCAGATATTCTATATCCTCATTTATAATTTGTCTGCTCAACCTATCAATTTCTCTAAGAGGATTTTTTAAAACTCTTGCATGTTTAACATTTATTTCTGTATCATTTTGTCTCACTCTTGTACTTCTCAAGCTTTCAATTTATGTATTTCAGAGTTCCTTTGTTTTATGTCTAAGGATTCATAACCACTAAGTCTATTAGAAGAATTTTGCTTTTTATCAATAGTCATTAAATCAAGGAATATTTATTGTGCCTCTACTATATACCAAGCGCTCTTCTAGGTTTTTGGGATTCAACAGTGAAACAAACAGATAAAGTCCCAGTCCTCGTGAAGCTGATATTCCAGCAGGAAGCAGAGAGAGTTACGACATGTAGCCCCTTCTCACAGCCACAGAAAGGAGTCCTGTGGAGCTTGAAACCTGAGTGAGGTGACATTCTGGAGTAGCACGCAGCTCTGCATCATCAATCCAGCCAACCATGGTCTGTCGTCCAAAGCTAATGGAACAGGGACAAATAAACACGAAGGATTCCCACCTGCTCACTCCAGGGTCAATTCTCATGCCAGGGCTGGCCCTTTCTCTCCTCCCATGAGGTTCTGAAAGCTGCAGTTTCCCCAAGAGGGAGTCAGAAAGGCAGAGAAATTAAGCTGTCCACAGACTGAGTGGAGCCATCTGAGGAGACAGAGTGCAGTCCTCGGCTGTCTTGGGGGGAAGTGGTCAGCTTGTCACCCTGGAGGGCCTGCCCCAACCTGTCTCTGCTGTGTAAACCCTGTACAGCTGCCCCTCTTGGTGACCATGGATTGTGTTGGTGGCAGGAGCAGGCTGTGATAGACAGTTGTCACCACATGGGGTGTGTTGTTGGCACCTTGCGGACTCAAACTGATAGAGGCTGGGCTCTACACACTGTGACTTGGGGGGACGGGGGCTGACTCTGGCATAGGGGGAGGAAAGCATAGGCTCTTTGTTGTCATGAAATGACCTCCCAGGCCTGGTTTTCTAGGGGCAGGGAACGGTTTCTCATTCCGGAGAGTGACTACATTCTGGAAGATGTCACAGCAATTTGAGGAGGATGACAGTCACTAGTTTAGAGGAAAATGTACTCGTTATA